AAAGGGGGTGTACTCATTTATGATAAGCACTGTATATGTTTCTGCTAAGTACGAAGAACACAGTCCAGTCGAAAGCAGCACAGGGAATGACCCATCAGGCAACACAAGTGGCAGCAGAACATCAGGCAACAGAGGCAGAGCGTCAGGCATCAGAGGCAGAGCGTCAGGCATCAGAGGCAGAGCGTCAGGCATCAGAGGCAGAGCGTCAGGCATCAGAGGCAGGGCGTCAGGCATCAGAGGCAGGCGACAGGCATCAGAGGCAGAGTGACAGGGTGTGCAGCAGCAGAGCAGCACTGAGATCAGTTCAGGGACCTGTGGAAAGACAAACAACAGGTGGTTTTGATTAGAAAGATCCATTATGTCTCAACTGAAACCTGTTAAATGGCACAATTGGAACAATAATGACTTCTTTGTTGTATAAAAAAGTTGCATAAAATATTGTTCTCTGATGCTCATTATTAAATGACTGCACATTGATTTTGTTCTTACTCTCAGATTCTGTAACGGTTGTACATGACACTGCCAGACAGGTTCATTAGTGCTGCACAGACATGCACAATCCTATCCATCATGGCCTCTTCTCTCTTCTGTCTCTCACCCTGCAGTCTCTTCACCAGGCGCAGAGGAAGTGGGCCATCCAGAATGTGGTACCGGCTCTTCAGGGCCCCAATGACTCTCTCTGCAGACCACACATCGCAACATCTTCGGCTGACAGTTGTTTTCGGCCCCTCGTGAAAGACGGTGTGATGAGCTGTGCACCCAGAACAGCAAAGTCATCCTTCAAAGTGAAGCCCCTGTCGGCTAAAATCTGAAATAAACATCACAAATACTTAAAAACACTACTTTACTTCAACAGCAACTCAAAAATGGTAACTATGGGTAAATAATAAATTCACAAATAAGACTTAAATTAGAAACAAAAAAACAGTTCAATTGTTACCTGATCTCCTGCATGGTGGAACTTCTGAGATAAGAAGTCTGAGTTCCTTACAATATGCACATCTGAAGCCCTCCCTCCCCAGCCTTTGGAGAGATATGTGATTGAGCCAGATGGGTGACATGCAATGAAATACTTCACTGTTGTCCAGTTTTTGTATTTTGAGTAGGTGATAGCTCTGTGAGAAGAGACAGTCGTTAGTAATACTTATCTATAAATTGTGTACATATACACAGACAGCCAGGTAAGTATTACAAAAACCCGACACTTTATGCATGCTATCAAAAAGAAAAATATCTCACCTTGTTTTCAGCTTCTTTGAGTGTTCAATTCTGATCTCAAAGCAGTCGATAATTGCAGTCACTCTAGGGTACTGGAAGAGAACCTCTGCTGGTACTGTGCTTCTGATACACTCTATCAGGCCATTTAATCAAAAAAGAAATGTTGGCGTACATCAAATCCAACCATCGGGAGAATACATCCAGGAAAGTGCTATGTGCCAGGTCAAATATTCCACACATCATATCGGTTGAGGGGTTCTGCCGCAGTTTCACCAGAGTAATAAAGAGCTGGTCTTGTGTTGACATCTTGGATGTTTTCTGTGACTTAACAAACTGTACCAGGTACTGATGAAGAGTGTCAAATACTGTCCATGACAGGCCTGTCATGACTTTACATTTAGTGTCATTTTCTCTCTGTTTACCGACATTTTCAACGTCTCCAATTCTCTGATGGCTTCAGCTCGCTCCTTCATGGCCTCATCTCTTTCTCTTCTTAAATTATACAATTCTTCATAAAGTTGTTTTCTCTCTAACTCCTGAAGAGGTATGGGAGCTTCTGATGTTGGGGATTCTGGTGCTGGGCCCTCTGATGTTGGGGATTCTGGTTGGGCAGACTGAACACCCTCACGCTTCCTCCTTCTCTCCAGCCTCTGAAGTACTGACCTGGGAGACTTTGTCTTTTTATGTGGGAACAGCGAGGGTGTGTAGTCTGGGTGGGCTATGTCCTCGTTTTTTAAGCCTAGGGCAAGACAGTTCACAAACGAAATGAGAAGGGGATAGAAGGGGGTGAAATACATTTTAACTGCAGAAAGCTCGGAAGCTACCACCAGTGTTGTTAGCATAGCTGTGTTTTTGTATACTCAAGCAAGGTAGCCTGCATAACGTAGTAGTTAGTTAACTTCTCTTAAAACTAGTAATTGAACATTCATGTTAACTACGAAACAATTTAACACTGTTATTGTGTGAATAACGTTGTCATACCTGTAATGAAGTGCTGACTACAGACGTACACATGTTTGGATTTTGGATCCCACAGGTGGCCAAACTCATCCTCCCGACGGATCGCTTGAAGCCACCGGGTTCTTCTCCTGGGCTCTGTGCTCCCGTTGGGCAAAATATAACATTTTAGATTTGGATTTTTAAGCTTGTTAGTTGTACAAAAGGGCACACTGCAGCTCCTGGGCATTGTGGAAGCCGGTTTGTTTTCCCCCTCGGCGCGAACCGGATGTGACGTTTTGTGGGCGTTCCCTCGCTTGCCGACTGTATCTATGTGAGAAAACGAGAGGCATGTCTGCAAGTGGGAGTGCAACTGCCGCTGCGCCTCGGCTTGTTGACAAAAAAGACGCCAGAAGCGAAATGTGGAAGTATTTTAGCTATATCTCTGACAGTGAGGGCAAGCCTACGGACACCACGAGGCCTGTCTGTAAGAAATGTATTAATTTGATTTAATACGAATTCTTGTCATTTATTTTTATTTATTGTTCTCATTGTTTAAAAGTTTGTGTTATGGTTATGGTTCTGGTGTGAAATAAAGCACAATAATTACATTTAAGACTGTTTCCCTTTTTTTTAAGAAAAGTATCGAAAAATAATCGGAATCGCAATTCTTGACTTGGTATCGAAACCAAAATGTTGGTATCGTGATAACACTACTCCTGACAGTTAAACCTGATATTTAGTAGGTCTGTTAAGTATTGAATGCTGATCATTCTGACGTAATTTGGCCGGTCAAAGTTGTTTGGGCTCGGATAAAATTGCTCCGTTACTTTTCGGTGTTACTTTCGTCCCGTGTTACTTTCGTCCTGTGTTACTTTCGTCCCGGCTCTCCCTACGTGTGTATGTGTGGTGTCAGTGTCAGTATGAGAGGATGACAGCAAGTCTAATTTTGATGTGGCCAAGAGCCAATCACAATAATACCTGCGATGCAGTGAACCAATCACCTTTTGAGGGGGGGGAAACCTATCGTTGATTAAACACTACTATCACAGTGTTCCCCTACCATTGTTTTTGGAGGGGCGCTGCACCCCGCCAACGGAGCCCCGCGCCCCCCCCCCTGAAATTCAAGGTGTTTAAAAAATATATATAATTTTTTTTAAATATATATATCGCACCAAATTGCAAATAATCTATAACTACTGTCACTTTTCACATTGAACATGTGCTCTTTTATTAAATAAACTATAACGCTTTCATTGAGTATGTGAGTTTAGTGTTTTTGACCCTAAGAAACACTGATGCATTAATCAATAATAATAATCCACAGCTCCTCTCTCTGCTCCTAGATAATTTAAAAAAATATATATCCCAATGCCACAAAAATGCATCAGTGACGTGGTTGAAATCTTGTCTCCAGAAACAAAAAACTGAAACAAGCGGCATCAGTGACTGTGTGTTTGATGTGGCTCTTTGCAGTAACATAGAACAATGTGGCTCTTAACCTCTGACTGGTTGGCCACCCCTGCAATAGAGTCTATTGGATAAATAATTACAGGAATTTAAATACCTATTTTGGCCAAAGGTGGTAGCATTGTTCTACATAACATAATTTACTTCTATTATAATCAATAAGGCACAGCATGAATCAGGAGGAGGGGCAAAGGAGGCACAAATCATAATCAAATTCCATTGTTAATATCATTTGTGGTCTCAACCAACCTTAGAATCAGTACCTGCTAATAAGTGCCGGTTAGAATACATGACTACATTAAGCTTCCTATTGGCACAGAGATACAGTGGCCTCTGAGCAGCCCTGATATGAGATCATCCTGACTTTGGCCAGTATTCTGAGAGCAGCTCCCATTTGTCTGATTCTCTGATGATCTCATTGTCTCCACTGATGACCGATCCTTGGCATAGATTGGTTGTTGTAAAGTTCTGTCATGACTTTTTCTGGTACTACAGCTTCATTTGTACGTGGATCAGTGAAAATACCATCCATTAAAACAAAATCCAGCTGTGATGATGGCATAACTGTAGCACTCTCTGCAATCATATACTGTATAACTCACTTCATTCTAACAAATGAGTTCGCAGTTGTGAATTGAATGCTACTTTTATTATTTTACACTTAAGTTCTGACAAGAAGAAAGATGCAACAGAATAGTTTTTGATTGCATCAGGAAGGCATGAAGCTGACATCATACCCATGCACAGGCTTTTACTGTTTCAAACACTGTTTAAACAGCATGCCACACTGCAGAGGTTCTTTCTTTTATGACATTAATTAATGTGGATTATATGAACTGTAAACAGTAAGGTCACAGAAGGTCACATTCATGTAAATTGAAAAGGGCAATACAGTAGTTATTTACATACAAATACATACGGAAAGACATTGTTTTAAAAATGAAAAGCACTTTATTACCTTTTGAAACTGCGGTACAGTATGACAATATCCATGGAAATAGTTTTCTTAATCTTTTTACTGGGTTGTAACTCACATAAACAAAACCCACTCGTGATGCTCATTTGACTTTATGTGCTACTAGTATTTTGTTTGTCGAAATTGGTGGCAGCAGGAACATTTTAAAATCAACAGCCAAATAACCAAAGAGAAGTGAAAAGATCAGCATCGTGCCCCATTGTATAACAAAATGATTGGAGGAAAATAGTTTTCTTGGCCTTATGCTTAATAGTACAGGGATCCATAGGTAATCAATAACAACGACTACAAACCAAAATATATAAATCTTCTGAATTCTTCATCTGAGTAAAATAAAGGAAAGTAAAACCTGTACTCCTCCTTACAGAATCCAGGTTCTGCAGGAGGAGTGGTTTAAGAAGATTTGGGAGATTTCCTATACTAACATCACATGACCTAATGGTAATAAAAATGCAGGCATGTGGTATAGAGGCTCAATGCATTGAGTGGAAAATCAGGACACTAGTAAAGACAATAGTCCCTGTAGGGTCACTCTCTGGCAGTGTTGGGTGTAATGCGTTACAAAAGTAACGGAGTTACAGTAATGTATTACTTTTTGCTTTAACGAAGTAATGTAACGCATTACTAATTACATTTGAGTAATATACTACCCGTTACAATTCTCAGTAGCGCAGTTACAACTCATTTTAACCCGAAATGAAATGGTGTTTTGTTTTTTTAGAATTCACTAACATCGTTAACATAAAAAATTGTGCCGGTAGATTAGTAAACCTGGTGTTTAATTTATTACTTACAATATGTAATGTATTACATTTTGGAAGTAACTTGCCCAACACTGCTCTCTGGACTATTTGAGGACGCCATCTTTCTACTACAGCCAGTTTGCACACTGGACAGCAAGCTGTTAGCATAGAAGCTCCGAAGCCTGAATACCTCTCACGCTCCAGGGGCCCACTTTGAGACATTTAAAATGCCACAAAACATTACTTCGAAAGACAACCATGCAAATTCTGAACTCGGTCTTGAAGAATGGCCGTGTTCCAAGGCTGGAATAGACAGCGCTTTGGGCCTCGCTACTTCGCAGTGGAATCCAGGACCTTTGGGCAGAGCCATCTCCAGTGGGTCACGGTTAGACATCCAGGCTTCACAGATTGAACGCGCAGAGCTGGTCCCAAAGACTGAGATTAAACTGTATCACCGTCGCTGGATCATGCTTTTTCTCTTCAGTGGCGTCTCAGCCAGCAATGCCTTCATGTGGCTTCAGTACGGCATTATAAGCAACATTTTCATGCGTTTCTACAACATTGACTCTTTTGCCATTGACTGGTTGGGCATGATCTACCTGCTCACTTACATTCCTCTCATTCTGCCCGTCCTGTGGCTCCTGAAAAACAGGGGAATCCGGGATGTCATCCTGATTGGGTCAGCTTTTAACTGCATTGGTGCTTGGATAAAAATTGGTAGTGCCAGTCCCAATATGTTCCTACTCACATTTCTAGGCCAGTTTATGTGCTCGGTAGGCACTGTGTTCATCATTGGTATTCCCTCTTACCTCGCCTCAGTGTGGTTCGGAGAGAAAGAGGTTTCCATTGCTTGTTCCATAGGAGTCGTGGGATACCAGGTTTGTCTGAATATATGATCTAAAGTCAGAGACCACATAGTGAGGCAGCTGTCTATAGATAATGCAGCTGCACTGCATTCCAGTGACACATAGGTCTTCTAGTGTCTTGGTGCGAGAGTCCAGAGAAAATTGAGTTAACTGTTTGCTGAAACCTCCACATTGTACTCAGTCTTCTTAGCTTTTGTAACGTTTAAACAATATTCTTGGCGGAATTAGTTAGACGACATAAATGTTCCTTCCAGACTAGGTGGTACTAAAAAAAATATCATGGTTGTCTCATATTGTTTTCTGCTAGTTTGAAGGGGTATGTTTCAGTTGCCTTAAACATGAGCAGCATTGATAACTCAAAAGAAAGTGTTTAACCGTTGATAATACGGACCCTATCTACTCTTAAAGATCAATTGGCTTAAGGTTATGAATTTACATTTACCATTATATATATATATATATTTTTACCAATAATTCAAATAACAGAAATATACATTTTAAGTGGTGTCAAACAAGCAAAAGTAACCTCTAAATACACATGTTGTGGTACCATTAAGTATGTATGAGATAAAGAAATGAAGTAGCAACAATGGCAAAGAAAAGAAAGAAAAACTGTTGTTTGATATTACCAAACAAACAATAATGTGTGTTGACTTTTATGCACTGTCTTATAGCTGGGTATTGCCATCGGGTTCCTTGTGCCTCCCATCCTGGTGCCGAATGTGGACGACATGGACGAGCTGGCTCACCACATCAGCATTATGTTCTACATCACAGCAGCAGTGGCCACCTTACTCTTCATCCTCGTGGTCTGTGGTAAGAGTTGTCATGTACTGTAGCACATCAAGGGTCAGTCTGCATAACAAAAGTAGTGTTTTTAAAAAAACGTCCTATCTAGTGTTATCTCGCCATGCAGACAGTCAGTTATCTTTAAACATCTCCAGATATAACGGAAACTTTCTGCATGACTAGACATTCCGGAGGTTTATCCATTTCTGTTAGCAAATATACACAAAATGGAATGTAGACTAAAATGCTATTTTAAAACCATATGTCTTACCGTGTAAATAATGATTTTGTTGGTGAATAAATAGAAAGTCTAAATGGTCTAAGGTGACATCACCCCCGTCACTCATCTTGTCCTTTTCCCTCAGAAACACACGTTTCACACATATGTTTTGTTCGGGCCATTTCTCGCTCAGGCCGGTGGGATTTTCTCATTCAGTGGCTCCACGTGATGATGGTTTTAATTTACAGCGGACTTCTACTCTGAAAAGAAGCATCATTCAGTAGACAAGAAATGTGCTGACATGCATGTTCAAACCAGCACAAAACCATCCCTTAAGGCAGTGGTTCTCAAAGTGGGGGGCGCGCCCCCCCTGGGGGGCTCAGAAGCATGCCAGGGGGGGGCGCGAGAGACCAGGAGGAAAAATGGTTATACAAAAATTAATTTAAAAAAAAGATTAAAAAAATTAATAAAAATTGAACAAATTATTGATTCGAAAATAATATGATGCAGTACAGTACTATTACGTCTGGGTCTCTGTGTTTCATTAAAGCTCGGCTCTGTGTGTGTGTGTGTGTGTGTGTGTGTGTGTGTGTGTGTGTGTGTGTGTGTGTGTGTGTTGTGTGTGTGTGTGTGTGTGTGTGTGTGTGTGTGTGTGTGTGTGTGTGTGTGTGTGTGTGTGTGTGTGTGTGTGTGTGTGGAACGAGCCATTTTGTGTGCGCGAGAGAGAGAGAGAGAGATAGTGCACCGGTACCGGAGATCGTTGTTGTTAGCTTCTGGTGCTAGCCAGCTACGCTAACGGATATAAGGAGTTTTTTCAACAACAACGTGGAGGAGAGTTCTCTCCTGTCAGACTGAGAGACTCAGTGAGTTAAAGGACTCTCTCAGTGTTATCTCAGTGGGTCTCAAATGTTTTGGTCACCATTAATGTAAACAATTATTTCCGAGGCACACATTTATATGATCATTATAGTTATAAAAAAATAAGAGAATAAATGAAAAACAGGTATGAAATACTATATGACAGTAAAACAAGAATAACGTTTAAAAGGGTGATTTGTAAAATATCCATAAAGAAATAGTAAATCTGTTTACAGTTCTGTTTCAAATGGGTGTTGATTGATGTATCCATAGATCTCTTCATTTTGCTCTCAAAGTGCACCAGATTGATGCATTTAACTTCAATATTTAAAAATAAATCTTCCCGGACGAGCTTTCCCCCGGACCCCCCTATGTGAGGTCCACACACCACCTATAAAATAACACTTGACCCCTGCTTACACCTATATGCCGTGAGCTGATTATCGAGCCTTCATTGTAACAGTCACACTGTGTATTTGCGTGGGGAGTGTTGCAGTAGAACATTCCTCTGGAGCGCCCGGTACATTAATGGGAAACCCTAAATGTTTGAGCACCCTCTATGAAACGTCAAGCTACCCCACAGCACCCCCAAAATAAATCTCTGGCGCCGCCACTGAGCCTGACTATTTGTGTTGGGGGGGGCCTGACTTTTTTTTTTCTCCAAAGAAAAAGTTTGAGAACCACTGCCTTAAGGGGAGATTCATAAAAAAGAGCCTTTGTGTTACAAGTCAGGAAAGGTCAGGAGAAATGTTGAACAGGCAGAGAAGTACTTGAACAAACTGAACAGTATAGTTTGTTTAAAGCTATATTTGTCATAGAGAACTAGAGGATGTATCATCACAAAATGACACTTTCTCATAAAGGGAAGTGGCGTGACTTCATGTGACATACAGGATATGGACAGGATGTATTCTAATGACTAGAATCATAAGAAGTGTTTAGAGTATGAGAGAGGTCCTGATAATTTATTCCAGTAAATTACTCTGACCTCCTAATTGACCTTTCCGAAGTTATTGAGTCTATGTAAGTTTGCTGCTTGGCTCAGATCCACCAACGTCAGCAAGATCTCACCTCTTCCTAACCCCCCCGAAGAACCAGGTTCAATTAACTGCTGTTTCAATTCAGACAACTCTTTTTTAATCTGTTTAAGCGATCCCGAAGGATTTTGATATCAGTAAATGGAGTGTGCTCCTACCTAAGTGTGTGTGGCAGGGTGCAATCTTACCTTTGACGCAGGAGAGGAGAGCACAGGTGTCTTTTAAAGGATTCCAATCCAAAAGGTGGGATCAGTTTATTTGAAGAAAAATAGGTCCAAACTAATACAGGGTTTTTACCTTCTTTCTCACAACATTATAATCATACTAACAAAAAAACCGTGCTGTGATCATGTTCAAATGAAACTTTAATTCACAGTCTTACATTTATTACCAAAATGTTTTAATTTCAACTGCCCATTTCAGTTGTGACATTTTAAAATTCTCCCGATAGAATTTAGAGGTATTTCCTCGTAAAAAGACCGGTGACAATAAAAAGCGCATTCAACTTTCCATTCATCAATTAATTCACATCAGTTTCATACCGTTTTTTTTCCGACACAGACGGCGGATTAACACTCAAAAACCCATACCTGTCCGCAAAATTCGGGGGACAACATTTCCCCACAGGTCGCGGTATTTATAATGTGCATACACTTTTTCCGACACAGATGGCGGATTAACACTCAAAAACCCATACTTGTCCGCAAAATTCGGGGGACAAGATTTCCCCACAGGTCGCGGTATTTATAAAGGTTCATACACACATCTCTCAATCAAATCATTCCACTCAGCCAACAACCAATAAATTCGAGAGATATTTACCCCCGTCTGGAAGGACCTTACCGAGAGCTATTAACCCAGCTCTGAAGCACACAGCCTACCCGGAGAGAGTCTACCAGGGGTCTCCCCCCCCTCTCTCGCGCTCTCTCAAAAAACCAGTCTCATTATGCTAAAAAAACTGGATCCTAAACCCAAAAAAACAAACTCCTCCTCTTCACGTAATTTGTGAAGAACTGCGCATGTCCTATAATGTACAAGGCTGAACATGCCTCAACATGTTCCACAGCTGTTATGGGATAAGACACCCTTTCATATGAGGTAAAAAGGACATGAACTCTCTTTGGCCTCTAATGTTTCTCCCCTTAGTGTGAAGCCCCCCCCCCCTCTGTGGACTGCTGCCAGAGGAGAGGAAGAAAACTCAACCTAAACATACCACTTTGTTTTGTTTATACTGTAACTATAGAAAACCTAAAATATGAAGCATTTTCATTGTGGGTTATACAAGAATATAATTGATTATATTTGATTATAACTAACTTTTCGTTTTTAAGTATTAAACATACTATGAAAACTCACAACACCCTCTTTTCAAAACGCAAAGTTATCAAAATAGCAACAGAAAAAATTGTAAGCATAGATACATATTCAAAAACCGTCAAGAAGCATTCTCATTATGGGTTTATACAAGAATATGATTGATCATGTATGATTTATAATTAACTTTCGTTTTTAAGTATTCACTTCATACCATGATCTCAATTAACTTTCGTTTTAAGTATTCACTTCATATGAAGATCTCAACAGAAGGGAGTTTATAACCTGAAGGGATTAGTCAGAATAACACACGAGGGTGTAAATATGTATTACCCTTCTATAGAGAACATTAGGTTAAGTAAGAGAGGAGGCAAAAGTTGCATGAAAAAGCTGTTGTCCTGTGAGGATGGGGGAGGGCGGGGGTGCTCGTAAGCATTCTGCATTCAGAAACACAAAAGAATGCTTGTGAAGGCATTCCATAGTGGCACCATGTACAACATTCAGACTGACGGTCAGTGTTGTTGGTATAAATATGAAGAAAGATATAGAGGACCAGGAGAAATGCTGAGGACAACGTTTTACTGTCTTAAGAATAACCAGTGATTCTGTATAGGACGTACAGGCTTTCCTCCATGGGATTGATTCATTTGGGCAGTGGATGTGACTCTTGGTCATTCCAGCAAGATAAGTCACAGCTAGTTGGCTACAGTAGTTTCATAATATGACACATAAACTCACACACACATAGCACACCCTCACACATACATGCAAGATGCCATGTGTGAGGGCTGTCCTGCTGGCAGGGCCATCTGTAGCCCGGCAACAGGCCTGTGAGTCAGCAGGGCAGACAGCGGCCCAGGATTTAGAGATTTGCATAAACTGATAAAAAGAGAGGTGGATGAAGGAGTTTGGCTGCTGCCGTCCTCTGACCGAATCGACGGCCAAAGGTCACCACAGTGAAAGTGGAAATAGGCATGTGCAAATCATTTCATATGCCGTTTTTAAAGAAACTTTCAATTTCTATGAATTACAATGACACTGTTGTAGCGGCTGTTTCAAAGACAAGGTTGGTTTCACAGGATTAGTTAGAGCAGGTTACTGAACACTGAACCAGGTCTTATCACAGTTGTCGCCCTTAAAGCGTCGGCCCTCACGAGGTCAGAGACTTGCTGACTGTTTCTTTAGAATGCTCAGAGGAAGAAAGTGTGGGGGTGTGTTGAGCTTAGAGTGCGTGTGTGGACCTGTCCAGCTGTTTCTGAATGTGCATGCCCCCTCACATTTAGGAAGTGAGTAGCCCTCTTGCCTCATATAAAGAGCTTATAATACTGTCCAATAGTAACCTTTCGTTGGCTTAAAGCACGTAAACAATCACGTGAGAGAGTTCCCACTTTAGCAGCTTTAGAGTAGTACAAATATAGTGAGAGAGATTTTCCGAGGGAAATTTGAAACATTGTACATTTCCAATGGACAGAGTTGTTCGCACAGATTCAGATAAATTGGCTGTGTACTCCCAAACATTCCTAAACTATACAACATTCACAGCCATAGGAAAGGTTTTAATTGTTGCTGTATCATAATGTATCATAAACTAGGGCTGTGCGATTATGGCAAAAATCATAATCACGATTATTTGGGTCAATAATTGATATCACGATTATTTTGACGATTATTCATTGACCATTTATTGAACTTTAAAACAAATAATATTTTACCAATAAACAAGAACAAATATGTTGGACCGCACTTCCAAAACCATACTAAACATATATTATTAATATGATAAATAAAAATAAATTGGACCAAAATAAATTAAATCAAACATGATGCAGTGCACTGTCACAACCTACTGAAAACTCCTTAACATATAGCCAACATTTTGGTAAAACATATTCAACATATTCCACTCAGGCTGGCCAACCGTCATGGTCCAGAAGTAACAGGAAATAAATGTTGAACTCCTTAAGACCAAATAAAAAAAATGTAGGCCACCATGGCAAATGCTGGTAGGGCTGCTCATGTCATCTCTTAAAGATTTGTTGCAAGAAACAACAGCCTGTTTACATGGTCTGGTTTCAGAGATGAGCGCAGGCAGGTGACGATATTGCCACCTGTACTGAAGACCCTCAGCCACGCTCCGACACATGTGACGCCGGCCAATCACAAAGCTTTGATGCGTTCAAGTGCATTATTTTGGCACAGGAAGATTATGTTACAGGACATTAACGATAAAACAGAATATTGTTGTTCTATTTGTAGACACATCTCGCGATCGACTGGTTGGGCACCCCTGGGCTAGACCATAGGTCTGTTGTGGTAGCAAAGTAGTCAGCTGAAGCCACATCTCTCTCAACTTCCCCACGGCATTTGTCATATAGTGCAGGCAGCGCAGACCTGCTGAAATAATACCGAGACGGCATCGCGTAACGCTTGTCCAACGTGTTGACAAGTTGCTTAAAGCCCTGGTTGCTAACAGTGGACATATCTTTAGCGATGTGAAATGTAATGGCAAAGTACTTGCAAATAGTGGAAATAGTTTTACCCTTCTTTTTAACGAGTTGCTGCTCTTGTTCTGACATCTTCGCTCTCGCTGAACACTCACAACACATGTCACTCCCACGTGGCCGAGTGGGCTTTTAGGGAGAGGCGAAAGCGCACCCAGCAAAATAATCTTAATAATTTTGTCAATTATGCTGTTTTCATAATCGTCGCAAGCCATAATCGTAATCGCGATTAAAATACGATTAATTGCACAGCCCTATCATAAACATCATAATGTGTTTCTGTGGATACTCCTTGTTGTGGGTACCATATAATGATATGCTCTGTAGGTTTGAGAAATTAATTAGGTCAACATGGCAGTAAGAAATGGCCAACACACTGAAAAAACCTTACATTTTAATATATGAATCATGTTTGACATTAATACACCAGAACATAGAATATATGTTATATCACATCTATGAATTACAGTATGTGTTCTTGACTGACTCTCCCAGTTCACCTGTGACCTGCATTGTAATCTGTGTGTCTGAGAGTCAGCTGCTCTTCTCTGTGTTCACTGTGATTAATATTGATTGATATGTTGGTCTCTCCATGTGTCAGTCTTCCAGGAGGGACCTACACTTCCTCCGACTCAGGCCCAGGCCACAGCTCGCAGCATTCCCCCTGAGCAGTACTCGTACACAGCCTCGGTCCTCAGGCTGCTCCGCAACCGGCCCTTCATCCTCCTCATCATCACTTATGGTCAGTGTAAAACAAGAAAAACAACCACAGGCAGGGCTTTGGTTTTTCTTTGTATTTGTTTAACTGAAAAATGAGTCCTTGATTTTGTCAGTACAATCTCTCACTGTAATCATTTAACAACAGTACCTCGACATATAATAACCTTTTGAATCAATATAGCAAAGTTGTTAGCAAACACATTACATACCCAGCAATTAAAGATAAACATAATCATGTCATTGGAGTAAAGTTCATCTGATGACTGTCAGTCCAATTTCTACTCCCTTTTAGATCTGTTTTGGTCTCCACCATCTTCAATTGGAAATATCTGTATCTTCAGCTGCTAATAAGTTACTTTTATAAACATGTCCAGTTCAATTGACCAATCCAACTGAAATCTGCTACCAGATTCAGGTATTCCCCGGACACATCACCATACCTACCCTGCCCCACGTGGGTTCCTAAATCTGCTTATAATTGGTCGGAAACCACTCCCTGATTGTAAAACAAGCCCTGATATTATATACTTTTAAACCAGGTTTATCTTTTCGTGTGTCATAAAAATGAACACATCCTCCTCAGATAATCACAGACATGATATTTATTGTGCCCTATAGAAGTTCAAAGTTTGGTTTAAGTCTGACAATGTTTAACCTAAAATAAAACTAAAAATATTTCCTGTCCGTCAAATAAGTAAATCTCGTCTAGTCACAGCAAGAACGTCCAACAGCTGTGAGCAATCTATGGGAACCTTTGACCTCACCATGTTATTTCCACAGTTCATGCGACTATTATTAGTGTCTCTGTTGTCCTTTTTTTTTTTTTAACCGGGACAGTGCACACTGATGAACACTTTAAAACCAAATAATGCTTACAAGTGTAAATGAGCCGGATTTCAGCTATTCCACAATGAGCTGCCTTTGATGGAGAGGACATTTTGTCCAAAAGTTGTCCGTCTACGGTGGACTTCACAGTCTCCTCTGGTTTTTGACCGAGTGCAGCGTCCAGTGTGTTTTTTGTGGATGAATTCCCCTAAGGGTGGGGCCCCCCGCCAGTCCATGTAAACATTTATTAAAAAAATCACTTACTTTTAAAAGAGTTAAAATTGTCAAAACTCAAGAAATTGTGATTTTCAAGAATGATACAGTGGTGGTATGAATTTGGCTTTCTGTCAAACACCTTGATACTGTAGCTCTCTTGTATAGTTGTTCTATGGGTTTAAGGTTTATGGCACAAGCAAACGACCCGTTTGTAAAACAGTATTCAATGTGGGATAGAATCATATGGAGGTATGACTTTGCAGCATTGACAGTTAAGAAGGGTCTAATTTGTTTAAAATGTAGCAAGTTGAATTTAATGGTATTGGCTACTTTCTTGTTATGTTTCTTAAAAGTCAAGTTCGAGTCCAATATGACTCCAAGATACTTGAAGCGGGAGACTCGCATTTTATGGGAACCCTTGACCCTCACCGTGTTATTTCCACAGTTCATGCGACTATTATTAGTGTCTCTGTTGTCCTTTTGACTCTTTGCATATGAACTTTAGTCACATGGTCTCAGATTTACCTGAGATTGTCACACTCTGTTCTGCGGGCCACCTGTCCCTGTCTGTTACACTGAGCTGTGATCCTAAATACATAGTTATATTTACATGAAAGGCTTATTTACACAGATCTATTTGCAAATAGTATAGAAATAGATATAATCACTGTTTCCTTTTTTAAATGTTATTAGAGTTTATAATCATTCCCTCAACAATTTGCATCCAAAATTGTTAATTACTGAAGTGGTTTTGTTTGGGTTTATGTTCTTCCTGAGCATGTCAGAACCACTACTAAAACTTTTGTTCATGAAAAAACACTCGACACGCAGACTTGTCCATTTATAGAAATCCTTTTTTCTGCTCTCTGTTTTGGAAACCAGCCTGATCAGGTTCATTGGACACAACTGCCAACCCTTCGACTGGTCACATTCAATTCCTTTATAGTTGCTTAAGGAAGTTAGCTCAATGTTCACCTTTTTAGGTTTCATAAAAAAAAATGTTGTTTCATTTTTTGACATTATTTCTCTAAAACAGGTTTGAATGTGGGATGTTTCTATGCTGTCGGCACCCTGCTGAACCGCATTATCATCGAGCATTACCCTGTAAGTCCCGCCTGCTGTGTCTGGTCTTCCCCCAAACTATTTTTACACTTCCCATAGTGTGATATGTCAGGATATGAAAAGCTGAATCATTTTGTATTGAAAGTACTCTTCACACATTGGCATCAACTATAACATTTAATTCCCAGAAATAAAGCAGCACAGCATGATTGCAAAAGTGTTACTCTTAAGTTTGAATATATAATTTCCTGTAGAGGTTGTTGTAATGTCCTTAATTACATTTCACTTTCATAAAGAGGAAGTAGGCTTTTCTCTATTTAAAGTATATCAACAGGCTGCTGTTATAAGATATTCATAGACTGGAAGGATGTTGCCTGCTGACCTGTTTTATTCAGTCAGTAAGAGATGTAGATGAAGGATTGAAGCGACACCAGATGAATGTAGAAAGAAACTCCAAGTCCCCTTAACTCCCTTGTAATGATGTCTGCCTCACTTTTCCTTTGGGATGTAAGGTCACTAATCTATGTCCTATCTTGCTTGACCTTGTAGGGAGAAGAGGTGAATGCTGGGAGAATTGGCCTCACCATTATCATTGCAGGGATGGTTGGCTCCCTGATTTGTGGCATTTGGTTGGACAAAACCAAAACCTACAAGTAAGGCGAAAAAAAAGAAAGTTAAATGACAGTTTGTTCCAAGTGCTAGGAATGAAATAGAACATTAGCCAGCCTTTTTTCTGTTCTGTTTATTGTCATTCCGCTTCTCATCTCGCTGTAGTTCTTGTTTAGTGTTTATGTGTTGCTCTGTGTCTATTTATCCAGGTGCTGCATGCTGCTCTCACAGTCATATTAATGACCCCATGGGCTTTTTGGCTGTGTAATGACAGCAGTGTCCTCCCTGTGGGGGGTTACAGTCGGCCCCCCGCTGTTTGAGAGATTTGTTTTGCATATGGGGGAAATGTTAGTGTGTTTGCGTCACACACACAGGCTCTCTTTCAGTCACAACTGTCTTCCCATGCCTTATCTCTCATACATATTTTGATTATAATTTAGTTGCCCATTCTTTGTTGCAGTTCATCTGTTAATTTGCACATTTTACTAATATAATATATATTTTGGGATCCTAAAACGCACCTCTTATTGAGTTGTTAAATATTTGATATTAATAAGATAGTCTTTTCTATCAAAGGCAGTTTTTTTTTATAAATGTATGTTGTTGTTTCTTTAATTAACCATTATATTTGTATATATTTGATTACATTTGACTGCAGTTTTGTTAATCTTTTCCTCACTGTGACCAATACGTCTTTGAAGGTTTATCTACTTATATTTTGGTGACAGTTGCACATTTATTCGTATTTCTTTCTATGCATGTGTCATAGTTCAACATTAAGTAGTAATAATCGCATGCATTTTTAAGATTCCCTATGGATCCTGGGGCACATGCACCAAAAACAAACAAAACAACCCATTCAAAACTGCTCCAAAGCTCTACTAGCGGTCAAAAACTCTTAACTTTGATGTTACATTACACTGCTTTTTAAAATCTGAATAATTGTTTTCATCCCTTGAGAAGCTACAATGGTCTACTACTACACCCACTTTAACGAGTTCACACAAACACATAAATAATGCAGCAGCACTACTAAAATGTATAATTATAATGATGATTATAGTGTTCAAGGTTGTTTATTTGTTTCTGTGTTTTTCCAGACAGACAACCCTTGCTGTGTACTTCATGTCTCTGGTGGGGATGATCGTCTTTGCTGCCACACTCAGTCTGGGACACCTCTGGGTGGTCTTCATCACTGCTGGAGCGCTCGGGTATTCTTTTGTTTTTGAGTACAGTTATGTTTTTGCTAAACACTTAATTGGTTAAGTCAAAGGTTAAAACAACTTGAAATTACATCAGTGGTTCTCAAAGTGGGGCATGCCAGGGGGGCGCGAGAGACCAGGAGGAAAAATGGTTATATAAAAAAAAAAAAAAAGATTAAAAAAAATAATAATAGTAATTTGATAAATTATTGATTCGAAAATAATATGATACAGTACAGTACTATTACGTCTGGGTCTCTGTGTTTCATTAAAGCTTGGCTCTGTGTGTGTGTGGAACGAGCCATTTTGTGTGCGTGAGAGAGAGCGCACCGGTACCGGAGATCGTTGTTGTTAGCTTCTGGTGCTAGCGAGCTACGCTAACGGATATAAGGAGTTTTTTCAACAACAACGTGGAGGAGAGTTCTCTCCTGTCAGACTGAGAGACTCAGTGAGTTAAAGGACTCTTTCAGTGTTATCTCAGTGGGTCTAAAACGTTTTGGTCACCATTAATGAAAACAATTATTTCCGAGGCACACATTTATATGATCATTATAGTTATAAAAAAATAAGAGAATAAATTAAAAACAGCTATGAAATACTATATGACAGTAAAACAAGAATAAAGTTTAAAAGGGTGATTTGTAAAATATCCATAAAGAAAAGGTAAATCTGTTTACAGTTCTGTTTAATATGGGTGTTGAGAGATGTATCCATAGATCTCTTCATTTTGCTCTCAAAGTGCACCAGATTGATGCTTTTAACTTCAATATTTAAGAATAAATCTTCCCGGACGAGCTTGCCCCCGGACCCCCCTATGTGAGGTCCACACACCACCTATAAAAATATCACTTGACCCCTGCTTACACCTATATGCCGTGAGCTGATTATCGAGCCTTCATTGTAACAGTCACACTGTGTATTTGCATGGGGAGTGTTGCAGTAAAACATTCCTCTGTTGCGACCGGTACATTAATGGGAAACCCTAAATGTTTGAGCACCCTCTATGAAACGTCAAGCTACCCCACAGCACCCCCAAAAGAAATCTCTGGCGCCGCCACTGAGCCTGACTATTTGTGTTGGGGGGGCCCGACTTTTTTTTGTCTGACAGAAAAAGTTTGAGAACCACTGCATTACATGTCACTTGTTAGACGCTTTTATCCAAAGCGACTTACATACTCAATACTGTGGGCAATCCCCACAGGAGCAATTTGGGGTGAAGTGTCTTGCCCAGGGACACAACGATATGCTGACTGCAGTGGGGTTTGAACCTGTGACCCCCTGACCCGAACACAAACGCACAACCCACTGCACCACACGCCTCCCATATATGAAAAAATAATTATATAAATCAAAATATCTGAACTTGTTCAACCCTCTTGCACAATTTGTGGCAACTACTATTTTCTGTTGACATTTGCAACAATAATTTACAGCCGTGTTTATTCAGAAGTCAACTTTGGATTGATAATGATTTGCAAATCCACCCACAGTAGGATCTAGGTTCAAATGTTCCTCTAACAGACACTGTACTCTAAATCAGGACATACTGTAGAGCAGAGGTGATCCTGTTTCTAGGAAAATGCAAACGTATTGATACAGGCTACAGTTGAGCTGAATGATCCTGAACAGTTAGATTATATTACTTTACTGCATCATGATAATTCCATTTGTGTTAAAACTGCATTATAGGGAGTCCTAGAACATGGTTAATATCCAAAACTAACAAAAATGGGACCAAAACATTTCAAACAATAGGCTACTAATAGAATCAGAATCAAGTTTATTGCAACACATACAAGGAATTTGCTTTGGTATCTGGTGGTGCGAACATAAACAATCTAAAAAAAGAAGTTGCAAAGTAGGTACAAATACTCAGGTGGTATTCAAGATGGTCTCATATTTTAAATATCACAGTAACAGTGTTTTAAAATAAAGCTTTTAGAGCCACCATGAATTATATCTTCACAATATATGTCTTGTTTTTGTAAATAATACCAGATATCGTAGCCAGCAGTACTTTTACATCCAGTTTTGACCTTTCTGTGTATGGTGTGAAAACATCACACCTCTTCAGCAGCACAGATTGACCCTCCAGCTTGGGCTCGCCCTCTCTGTGGAGGCACACGTACATCATATACATACCATACGTGCGCACATAGTGTACATGCCAGCCAGTGGACATGATTAATGTGACTCAGGCTGACTGGTCAAATAACTCAGAGAGCTTAATTCGTCAATGGAGATTACATTAGCTCAAGCTAGCTTTAAATTCCTGCTTGAATTCCTGGTATTCTATTGATTAAATTAACTTTTCTTTTACCTAGTGTGTACAACCATTGTCCCTAATATTTTAACCCATCTAAGAATTGAAAATGTACTACAGACTTGTATGTACTTTAAGCCTTTCCCTAAACATACTAGTTTCAATAGTTTCAATCTCATACTAGTTTCAATCTCAGGGGAAGAACAACATGGTTCTAGTACCTGTCACAACCTGTAAAACATCACCACGTCTAAGTAAAAAACAAGGGTGTTTGCATTTCTTAATAAAGAAGTAGAGGAAAAAACACCATGTGGAAGGTGTGTTTCTGCATTACCCATAAATACATTATCCAAGCTGTATAATTGGAATTAAGGTCAAATAAATGGCAGAATTATTCATATTTAAGCTACAATCAAATCAACTTGTGATTCTCTTTGTTAACTGTATGTATCTATGCTTCTCTCTGTGTGTGTGTGTGTGTGTATGTGTGTGTGTGTGTATGTGTGTGTGTGTGTGTGTGTGTGTGTGTGTGTGTGTGTGTGTGTGTGTGTGTGTGTGTGTGTGTGTGTGTGTGTGTGTGTGTGTGTGTGTGTGTGTGTGTGTGTGTGTGTGTGTGTGTGTGTGTGTGTGTGTGTGTGTGTGTGTGTGTGTGTCCAGGTTCTTCATGACAGGCTACCTGCCGCTGGGCTTTGAGTTTGCGGTCGAGCTGACGTACCCAGAGTCTGAAGGAACCTCATCCGGACTGCTCAACTGTTCAGCACAGGTACGATAAAACTTTATTGTCAGATCAAGTGTAACATTTTCTCGCATCACAGCAGCTCCTTTCACAACATCAGCAAGGTCAAATATTAAGGACAAGAAACAAGGAAACAGACATTTCATATAACATCACGATCACTGAAGATCACATTTGATCAGGGATTTAACTCTGTATTTAATTGAAGGAATGACTGGTGCACAAAAGAATGCTTCAGTCCAGGTGTGGTTTAGAATAGAATAAATAATAGATCAGCAAAGCCCAAAGAGATAGCGTGAGAACATCTGCTTATGTTGTTCCTAGTTGTACAAAAAGAAAGTGAGTAAGTTGCTTCTTTTCCATAAGTGAAAAATCAGATCCGCTCCTAAATGATATGATTTCTTCCTTGGCCCATGCTACACATGTCCCCCAGGTTTCATGAAAACTAGCCAGTATTTTTTCAGTATTCTGCTGACAAACAGAAAAACAAACCAAACTGAAAACAACATACCCTCTTGGAATTTTCTACTATCCTGATTTGACCTTGCATTCGAAAGTATGCAGAGGAGTTAGGTCTTTGCAGACCTTGGAACTGTTCTATCATATGTGCAGGGGCGGACTGGCCATTGGGAATACCGGGAGTTTTCCCGGTGGGCCGGTGCTGTGCGTGGGCCGGAGGGCCAAAAAGAAAATGTACCTAAAATGGTTTTTTTGCTTACCTAAATCCTACCGGCCCACATTTGTAAGTGTTCCGACCACACCCTGGAGGGGTGTTTGAGAGGCGTTTTGATAGGCTACCTATGTTCTATCTATCAGATAGTTTCACTTTCACAGATCAGGCCCGTAGCAGCTGTCACTGCGCAGTGAACGATCAGGAGTGAGTGACTGAGAGACCTAGCTGGCAGTTGCTTACAGTAGGATAAACAAGCTCCAAAACGTAAAGGCGTTTTTGTATAGTTTGTGTTTACAGTATACAGTATTGTAGCAAGCCCTGGGTTCAGAGGGAGGGGCTTGCATAGGGGAGGGGGCGGGGGGGTTGGCAGGGAAACGGGGTTCAGGGGGAGTGGCTGTACCCGTAGGATAGAAAAGGGGGAAGTGACGTCTGACTCAGAGGTTGCGCGGCTGTGGAGAAGAACGCGTTGCCCACATTCTGTTACTGAATTTAGGCTAGTTAGCTAGCAGGTTTATTGTTTTGGGTGCAGTCACTTTTGCCTCCACTTGCTGTTCAAATAAATGTTGAAAGAAAAAGTAAATCTGTTTATAGTTCTGTTTCATATGGGTGTTGAGAGATGTATCCATAGATTTAGTCCCTAATTTTGCTCTCAAAGTGCACCAGATTGATGCATTTAACTTCAACATTTAAAAAAAAAATCGTCCCGGGGGAGCATGCCCTAAAGGAGGTGAGGTCCACCACCTGCCCACACCCCCTGTTAAATTATCTCACCCACATTGTCTCATCCATGCGTCAAGTCAGGCAAATTGGGTCCAAATATTATAGCATCAATGATCTGTTAACATTAAAATGAATGAATGTAACTATTTTGCTCTAGGCAACTCAAGGGCTCAGGTAATGTGATTACTATATGAATAATGGTCCAAAATAACATAAAAGTTTTTTATTAAGTAACATACTTTCGTCGCCGGCCGGCCGATACATGCCCCGCATTAAGTGGGGCTGTCTGTCAATTCATCCCCGGGCCACTTTTTCCTCCCAGTCCGCCCCTGCATATGTGCAACAAACAACATGCTTGCAAATGTACTGTGAAAAACTTACAAAAATGTTGCTGTGTGCTAGTTTTGTTCTGGCTTCCTTGATTGTTTTTTTTTTGCCATTTGATATTGTTACAAACTCACTAGGGATGAGGAAAGCAACACACACCAGTATGTAATTGGCAGAGGTGTGGACTCGAGTCACATGACTTGGACTCGAGTCAGACTCGAGTCACACATTTTATGACTTGAGACTCGACTTGACAACATCACAAAATACTTGCGACTCGACTTGGACTTGAACACCAATGACTCGGGACTTGACTTGGACTTGAGCCTTCTGACTTGAGGTGACTTGCTACTTTAATTCAGAGGTCTCCAACACGCCGATCGCGAGCTACCGCTAGAAGAGCAGACTCCCGTCGGGGAAAGCAGAATCTTCAGCCGCTCCTACTCTTGCTGAGAATCCTTGCAGGCAGGGGCGGGTCTTTATTTAGCTGGGCCACCATGCGGCCAATCATATGCGAGGACACACTAGGATCATACCATTATGTGAAAGAAGGGTGGGGGCACAGCATGTGCAGAGCGACGGGGAGACGGGGAGCCGGATTTAAACGCAAGCGCGTCGGAAAAAGTCAAGAAATGAGCGAAAACCGAAAAAAGAAGCAGCATCTGGCTGCTTTTCAATGATATTGGAGAAAGCAAAGCTGAGTGCAGGATTTCTAAAATGAGAATAACCTTCAGAGCAGGGTAAACACTCAGGATTTATTGTCAGAGGTGGGAGAAGTTCAGACAATTAAAAAAAGTTACAATCAGGGTTCCCGCGGGGTCTTAACAAGTCTTAAAAAGTCTTACATTTGATAATCAGAATTGAAGGCCTTAAAAAGGTCTTAAATATGATTCAGAAGGTCTTCAAAATTATCGGATTTGAAAGGTACTTCTATGTTGCGATAGCGTCTAAATGTGTTTTGGGGGAAATGTCCGGGCTGCAAAGTAACCAGTACGGTAATAGCCTTTCAGTTCCCCCCAACAATTTGTATTGAATTAAATCAACATGGAACCAGTAATCACTAACTTTGTTTCCCCCGGCCCCTTGTTGGAGAACACCCAACTAGTAACCTAGCAACCAAGCTTCAGCTCATGTAGCCTATCTTCGAATCTACTTACAAATAAATATGGGGAAGTGTAAGTTCAACCGTATTTGGTTGGAAAACATCTAATTTAGTGCTTGGTTGAAACCAGTGGGGGAACGTGTTTGAAGCCCGCTGCATCTTTTGCAAAAGAAATTAGTGTTTGTTTTGCTAGTGGAGCGTTAGCTAGTGCAGCGTTAGCTAGTGCAGCGTTAGCTAGTGCAGCAGCAGCTAATGCAGCGTTAGCTAGTGCAGCAGCAGCTAATGCAGCAGCTCCCGCAACAACACCGGGGGACCTCCGGGCTAAGTTTGGGTCTACGTCAACCCTAAAAGCGGAGGTGCTGTAGACGCTAAATACCGTAGCTAAACACCAATCATACAACAGCAACGATGAAATAGTGTAGCCAAGGCAGCAGAGCTCTGAATATAGCTCTTGTCACTCTCTCTCAGAGACACACACACACACACACACACACACACACACACACACACACACACACACACACACACACACACACACACACACACACACACACACACACACTAGGGCTGCTCGATTATGGCAATAATCAAGATTATGTTGGTCAATAATTAATATCACGATTATTAAATATGATTATTCATTGACTTTGAAAACATCCATTTATTGAACTTTAAAACAGATAATAATTTGAACAGTATATTTTTAACTGTTGATTACCCTGAACGTATAATTCAACTGAAAAACCAATACAAAAATTTATTAAATAAATGATACATTACTAAAAAATTAATTTGATCAAATATGTTGTAGTGCTCTGTCACAACCTAGCAAAGCAAAATAATCGTTTTTTACGATTATGTTGTTTTCGTAATTGTGGCAGGCCAAAATCGTAATTGCGATTAAAATATGATTAATTGCACAGCCCTAACACACACTCAAGCACACACAGACGCACACACATACACACACTTTTTGTCTAACACGCTAACACAGTTCTGTACTGTTACGCTGTTGTGTTCAGTCACTGTTCTTATGTTGAACATGAATACATTTACTTTGTAAGTGATTATGGGACGTATTTCTTCTTTATATACATTTTCCTTCATACTTTATTGCCGTGAAATAGGTCTTAAATTCTATTCAAAGTGGTCTTAAAAAGGTGTTAAAAAGTCTTACATTTGAGTTGGCGAAACCTGCAGGAACCCTGTACAATAAAAAGTCCTGCATTCAAAATGTTACAAGTAAAAGTACAAAAGTATTAGCATCAAAATATACTTAAAGTACCACCTGCAGAGGGATCTAGATTCAGGTGTTCTTTTCCCCATAGAGACCGCCTCGCTGCACATTATCCCTTGCATAAAGATAGATTGTGGGTCCCTTATAACATGTTGTACACAGTAGAAATAAACATTCTGGTTACCTCAACATCAGGGATCTTATCCATTAAACTCCTTCTGAATCAAACCGTCACGGTAGCCTTACCTTACTGATCCCTCTTAAATTAGAAAAACACACGTTACTTTACCAGCAGAGAGAAAATGGATTATTAAATTATTAATGTGACTAATAAAGAGCAATTTGATTATTAAGTATTATTCTGTTGATCGATGTCATTACATTTGGTGAAAAACACATAATGACTTGTTTATGACTCGTTTTGTCAAAGTTTAGGACTTGACTTGACTTGAACTGGCCCATCCTGACTTGAGACTTGACTTGGACTTGCAAAACAATGACTTGAGACTTGACTCGGACTTGAGCGCAAAGACTTGAGACTTGACTCGGACTTGCAAAACAATGACTTGGTCCCACCTCTGGTAATTGGTAATAATTATAAGTAGTTTTATTACAGAACAGGGTATAACAAAATGGAAGGCGTGCAGCCTGAACAAACAAAAAGGCCAAAAGGGCACAGGTTGACAAATAACCTAACAAAAGGAGGACTCTAAAAAAGGAGTCTAATGGCATACAGAAGAAATAAATACTAATATAGGGAACGAAACAAAACCTCACTTTAAAAGTGGTACAACTAAATAAAGGAAGCTGTAAAAAACACAGCTGAAGGAGAGAAACTAAGCACCCTACGCTAAACACATATATCCACACTCAACACTGCCCGGCCACACGAGGACGAAAACGGCTAAACGCATAGGATTAACGCAATCGGAAAAAAGCTTCCGTCCACACGCAATAGTCATCCGGATAGTGTCTGTCCACACGAGACAGCTCCGTTTAGCTCCAACCGCTGGAGAAGCTGCAGTACATATGCAGGAGCCTGTACGTGGTGCTGTAACTTCCTCCACAAAAGCAGCGAAGAAGCATGGTTGTCATGGTTGCCCTTCTGTTTATTCTCCGCGGTGGGGGCCGAGGGAACCGGGCAGAGTTTTTCGCCAGTCAACGTGTATTACAGTTTAAATCTTCCGACAAAATTATAAAAGTGCCGGTCAAAGGACTTCTTTGTTATTTATTGAGCTTTAAAACAAATGAATAACGAATCTATATAATATAATAATATAAATACACGGAGCCTCTCTTTTTCCTCCCTCTCTTTGGACAGCGCCAGTGTATGTTTCATGCAGCTGCTGGTCCAGTAATGAGTGACCCGGCCGACAGTAAAAATAAACATATTTATAACTAGTTTAGGTAGTTTGAGAGGTGTCTCTTTCCTGTCAGATTAGACTTCACTCGAGTTTATGTCCATATCGAGAGAAATAAATAATCTGAATTCAGTGAGCAGCAGAGGTGGGGAGAGGCAGGGCTATTGCCTCATCATGATCAGAAAATGATCGTATAGGGCGTACACAAAGAGCCGTTGGACCCCCCAGAGCGTTGCGTATGCCGTTCTATCCACCTTGGGACCCGTTATCGTTTCCGCAGTCGTTTAGTGCCGTATTCGGTCGTCCTCGTGTGGCCGAACGGTCTATATGACACTAAACAGTAACGCAAACGACCGTTTTCGTCCTCGTGTGTCCGGGGCATAAGCACATCTCTCGACACTCGTCACTAAGCACATAAGTTGTCACTCGACACTGAACACATATATCGTCACTCGACACTAAGCACTGTTTAGAGTTTTGGTGGTCCTGATAATTTATTCCGGTAAATTATTCTGACCTACTAATTGACCTTTCCGAAGTTATTGAGTCTATGTAAGTTTGCTGCTTGGCTCAGATCCACCAACGTCAGCAAGATCTCACCTCTTCCTAACCCCTCCGAAGAACCAGGTTCAATTAACTGCTGTTTCAATTCAGACAACTCTTTTTTAATCTGTTTAAGCGATCCCGAAGGATTTTGATATCAGTAAATGGAGTGTGCTCCTACCTAAGTGTGTGTGGCAGGGTGCAATCTTACCTTTGACGCAGGAGAGGAGGGCACAGGTGTCTTTTAAATTATCCCAGTCCAAAAGGTGGGATCAGTTTATTTGAAGAAAAATAGGTCCAAACTAATACAGGGTTTTTACCTTCTCTCTTTACAACATTATAATCATACTAAAAACCTGGTGTTGTGATCATGTTCAAATGAAACTTTAATTCACAGTCTTACATTTATTACCAAAATGTTTTAATTTCAACTGCCCATTTCAGTTGTGACATTTTAAAATTCTCCCGATAGAATTTAGAGGTATTTCCTCGTAAAAACACCGGTGACAATAAAAAGCGCATTCAACTTTTTCATTTCACCAACTCAATTCACATCAGTTTCATACCGTTTTTTCCGACACAGACGGCGGATTAACCTGTCAAAAACACATTCCCATCCGCCAAGAGTTCGAAGGAAGGTCCTTACAGGTCGCGGTTATAATATTCACAAACACATCTTCCGACACAGACGGCGGATTAACCTGTCAAAAACACATTCCCATCCGCCAAGAGTTCGAAGGAAGGTCCTTACAGGTTGCGGGTTATAATATTCAAACACTTTTTTCATCAAATCATTCTACTCAGCCAACAACCAAGAAATTCGAGAGATATTTACCAAGTGTGAGAGAACCAATACCGAGAGCTAGTTACCCAGCTCTGAAGCACACAGCCTACCCGGAGAGAGTCTACCAGGGGTCTCCCCCCCTCTCTCGCGCTCTCTCAAAAAACCAGTCTCTTTATGCTAAAAAAAAACTGGATCCTAACCCAAAAAACAAACTCCTCCTCTATACCTAATTTGTGAAGAACTGCACATGTCCTATAATGTACAAGGCTGAACATGCCTCAACATGTTCCACAGCTGTTATGGGATAAGACACCCTTTCATATGAGGTAAAAAGGACATGAACTCTCTTTGGCCTCTAATGTTTCTCCCCTTAGTGTGAAGCCCCCCCCTCTCTCTGTGGACTGCTGCCAGAGGAGAGGAAGAAAACTCCACCTAAACAAACCACTTTGTTTTGTTTATACTGTAACTATAGAAAACCTAAAATATGAAGCATTTTCATTGTGGGTTATACAAGAATATAATTGATTATATTTGATTATAACTAACTTTCGTTTTTAAGTATTAAACATATTATGAAAAACTCTCAACACCCTCTTTTCAAAACGCAAAGTTCTCAAATAGCAACAGAAAAAATTGTAAGCATAGATACATATTCAAAAACCGTCAAGAAGCATTCTCATTATGGGTTTATACAAGAATATGATTGATCATGTATGATTTATAATTAACTTTCGTTTTTTAAGTATTCACTTCATACCATGATCTCAATTAACTTTCGTTTTAAGTATTCACCTCATATGAAGATCTCAACAGCACATAAGTTGTCACTCGACACTGAACACATATATCGTCACTCGACACTAAGCACATAAATTGTCACTCGACACTGAACACATATATCGTCACTCGACACTAAGCACATATGTTGACACCCGTCACTAAACACATATGTCACACCAAACACAGTCTGTAGTTTCCATGACACAAGAGCAAAAGGTATGAGGCGTCTGATCGCAGCAGAGCCTCCTGAGTCATAATTGTTCCGAGGCTTTGTAGTCCTCTCCAGCAGGTGTGCGCTGGGCTTGCACAGGGATTGGAGAACGTTCAGCTCAATTACATAATCACACACACAGCTGCAGACAATCCCAGACAGGTTACCAAGCAGGCAGAAACAGCAGCCGTAACAGATATCAATACCACTAGACCTTTGTTTACCACTAAGCATTTGTTCAGCATCTGTTATGGTTGTGAGGGTGCTTGTGTGCATGTTAGCACCCATGTTATTTCTTACTCCTGCATGTTTTGCACGCCCAGGTGTTCGGCATTATCTTCACCATCAGCCAGGGGAAGATCATCGACAGATTCGGCACTCTGGCAGGAAACATCTTCCTCTGTGTTTTTCTTCTAATCGGCACAGTAATGACGGGTAAGACCTTTCTGACTGTGAAACATATGCTGTGTGGAGTCAAAGCAAAGTACATATTTTACGTCACGCACAGCAATGCTAGGAATGTATTTGTTTGTTACTGTTTTTGTTGAATCCTAAGAATGTAAATTATGGTTACTGGGTTTTTTGGAAGATCTGTTTAAGGGTTAAAAGTTAATATCCACATACAGTAGAACAGAAAAGCAAATGTGTTTTTATTATTGCTTATACTTACAACAAAATATTACTTGCAAGAATGTTAGTTGAAGCTCCTCCTGGTGTATAGTACCTTTTCCTTTACTTAAAACGAGTTACATAAAACAGAGGGTAAATACTTCGGCAGAGCGAGTGTGTTACCACTGGTATTTTGTTTTTCGCTCAGTCCTATACTCAAAGTATATGTTTTTAATTAAGTAAAGCCCAGAGCAGATACTAAAGTCAGAGGATGGAACCGTAAACATGTTGTTCATTGACTAAGTAATGGAAAACTCTTACTCTGAAGGTCATTAACATACTGTGTGAAACGCTGCACATGCACACTGAAATACATACAAACGGTTGCAGCTTATTTTCAGGTGTTAAATGTGAGACTTCATGCTTCAGTGAAAACAAAGCCATTTTTTTGAAGGGCTAATTGAGGACCAATGTATAACTTTTGCTCAATGCGAAGGCTACTGAAGCCCTTAAAATGTTGGACACTAGAAAAATACTGCAAGACTATTTAATGAGACCTTTCTGCTATCAAAGGTCATCCGAGTTACTCATTGTAATTTTCCCAGCATTTCAGACATGAGTAGACTTCATGTTGTGTCATCAGCTCATCACACAAGAAAAGGAACATATTTATGAACTGAAATCCCATTTTGTGATGTACTGTAGAGTAGACTCTTAAACGAAGCGACATTTAATGTTATTAAGAGCTTTATAGCTGACTATGGTTCACAATTTGGGAAACATTCTCCTTAAGTAAAAATTCAGGATGATGATTATGTTGCAACCTTTGCCATCGTTTTGCAATGCAAAGTGTGAGGCTAAGTTAGGATGCATGACTTAGAGTTAGTCATACTGCATTTTTATTCTTGCAAAATATAAACCTGAAAAGAGCCAGTAAAACATTTATGTGCACAAGAGCCCCCTACGGGATGCTTACTTGTATTACATCATGTCCTTCAACTACACTTGTTGTGCTATAATCAGGGGTGCACATAACTTTTTTGCCCTGGTTCTCAAAGGAGCACCTGGAGATGTTGCTTGGTGCTCATCCTTAAAATGAAATAAACCGTAACTTTTTAGGGGGGCTGGACTTTATTTGCCAGACACACGGCACTAAACACACATGCAGAGGTGAACACAACACAACATTAGCACGACCAGTAATCCTACAAGCTGTCATCACTACCCTCCTGACTGTCAGACATGGTAGCTGATGATGTAGGCCTACTTCTTTCTCTCTGGTTGAGTCTGCGATTAGCTGCTTGCATCCACAAGTCAACAGCTGGTTTTGGGTCGAAAGTCTCTGTTGTCATCTTAGACAAGTGGATGTAATCAAATACGTATGTGAACATAACCAATAACCTACCATAGCCAATAACAAATGAATGTAACTTGTTTTATTTGTGTTGTTCATTCATATCTTATTTTACCTTAACATTTATTTATTTATGCATTTTTTTTTATCTCCAGTTTTAAATGATATTTTTGGTTACTGGCCATAGTATACATTGGAATGATTTCAAACCTGTTTATCCCAATAATTATAAAGGAGTGCCTTGGAAATATGTGTTTACATAAATTGTGACCAAACCGTTTGAATTTAGACTAAAGTGAACTATCTAAACACTCAGAGTACTTTACCTCACTGAGCTGTAGTTAACGCATAGCCGCGGGAAGTAGGGGTACTGCAGCACCCCCTGTTGGCGAGTGGTGTACATTTAAAAATCTGAGTGACCACCTAAATAAAAATGATTAAACTACATAAAATAGTTATGATTTTACTTTAAATAAAATTAGCTGTATACAGTAGCATATAATAGTCATAGTATATATTTGTATGCATCAGGTGGCTTGAATTTATTTTCCAAATAAATAAAATCCGAGTCATCTAGGTCATAGGTCGTGGGAGAGTGACGTAATTGACGCGACACACACACTGCAGAGTGACAACTTTATAGAATGGCGCAAAAAAGGATTTTGGATTTTTTTTCTCCAACAAACAACCCAATAAAAAGAGTGGACCACCAGCTACTCCTCAGCCCACCACCTCTACAACTAGAGTAATATGACACAGAAAAGACTGACACTGACTTTAATGCATGTCCATAGTAACATTTTGGACAATGTGGATGTATCTGCTCTAATGAGGGTCTTCATTAGTGCCACCCCAGGCTACATTTGGAGTTTTGTGAAGCCCCAACACAAGGTAAGACGATGTTCCCTTTAATGCTGCTGCCGCTGTGCAGTGTTTTGCCTTGTCAATCAGTTAAAATTGAATTTATAGTTTTATTAATATTGTAAATAATATTTTCTGACTATTTGTAATGTTATGTAGGTTTGTAAGACCCATAGTTAGCATGTGGGCATGTGCAGCTGTTGCTAAGGTCTATAATGGTTTATTAAAGTTAAGGCGAGACACCCCAGGTGAATAGGGTAATTTCTCCAGTTAATTACCTACAATAAGGCAATTATTTCTTATATTACAAGTTTTCTGAATATGCAAATGATCCATTATCTCATTACATTTGCGCATATTTTAACACATTTCAGGAACCGAAATCTGAACTTTGGATAAAGCCAGGTTCAAAATGCTCGTTTCATTTTGTAGTCATATTAGCATCTAAGGCTTTTACAGAAGGGATTTTGGATATCTCTTTTTATCACTCCATAAATCAGAAAATACTGTCAACAGCCCTAAAATATCAATTTTCGCCATGTTTCTAGGTATAACAAATTATATAATTCAGGCTATGAATGATCTATGAACAAACCCTTCTGTAAAAGCCTTCATAATATTGATAGGAATATAACTGGAAGGTTTGGTGTATGTACGTGCAACTGAAGTGGACATTTCGAACTCAGAGTAGGAGAAAAAACTCATTTTGAGAAAAGGACCTTTAAAGATTGCAGTGAGGCGCTAGCTAAACCCTCCTGTTCTTTGGATGACAGCTTGCGCATCGACGCACTCCGTGAAGGTATTTCATGTTCGGGGTCATTTGTGTTTTGTATAACCTTGCTTCGTGCAAGTGACAATTGTTGTTGTCTTCTCTGTGAACGTTTTTTTCGCCGTTCCTTTGCCATTTTGAGATTTAAATTTCTAGCGGAAAGCTAACCAGGAAGTGTTTTAGCACATCACGTGACGCATCTGAACGAATCACGTTGTCAGAAGTTGACACGAGCCAATGAGATTTCGTTTCTTGGTTTAAGACCCCTTTGTACTTTCACGATTGGTTGCTGATAAATGACCATATTTGGATCCGATGAGATTGTGCAGGAGAGACGGAGCTTTCCAGCGATGACATGGTGCAAACAGCGGTCGCGGTACTTTATGTTACGTTAGAATGCTAACTTTTGGTGAATTTAGGAGAAATATACAGACGCAAATAGACCAACTATAGTAAAATGAACACTTAAATGTGTATTTTGTACGTTTTACTTCCAAAAGCCTTAAAGAAAACATGTTATGGAATCAAAATAGTACAACATCTCAAAATTGACCAGTGCATGAAAAACGATGTTTTTTGCCTGCCGTGTCTCGGCTTTAACAAACAATGTATGCGGCTCGTATCGCTGACAGCTGGGCCCGGCAGCGTCTATCGTTATTCCAACCCAGTTTAGATTTTGCTTCCGCATTACGCAAGAACGTAGCTCTACGCGATAGCGTCATAGCCTTCTTCTTCGGCTGTTATAGCAATCTGGCGTTACATCTCTATGGGCGGCAAATATGATCTGACAAATATGATCTGACAAGCGAAATACCGTCCTTTTAAACGCCCATAATTATAATTATAATTATAATAATAAAATAGTGCTTCTTTGTCAATATGACTGACGACCACACTTATGCAGTGCTGAGGTAATGTTAATTCATCATTTAATATTAATTCCTGATGGATATAAGAGGGATACATTAGCAAACATCTGTATATATAGCCTATATAATGTTTCGTTGTTTTGTTTGTCATGTAACATATTAACGTTTTGACCTTCTGTTTAGGATGTAAAGGTATCTATTTAATATTTTATTTAATGTCTATTTTGTTATAATACAACATTTGACATTAATAACATATAAACGTTTGTAAAATATAAAAATGAAATGTTGGGACATTTATAAAAATGTATTCCTTTACATAAAAGTGCTTTCCAGAGGTGTAAGAAGTGATAAGATCTTGTACTGTACTTGAGTAAAGGTACAAGTACCAGAGTGTAGAAATACTCAATACTTTTATTATATTGTGTTGTTTATATATATGTATGTGTGTGTGTGTACAAATGAATTAATATAAAGTGTATGTGAGTGTGTGTATAAATGAATGAATACATCTGTGTGTATACATGTGTGAGTACATATAAGTGTGTGTTTATATGTTTATAAATGAATAAATGTGTGTATATATATATATATAAAACAGTATCATTAAATAATGCTGTGTGTGTATAAATAAATGAATGAATACATCTGTGTATATTTATGAATAAATACATGTGTGAGTACATATAAGTGTGTGTGTATATGAATAAATGTATATATAAAATAGTATCATTAAATATATATATATATATATATATATAAAATAATGCTGTCAAATAAATGAAGTGCACAGTAATAGTCAAGGTTATATTCAATATTCTGCTGATAAGATAAGATATTTAAAACGTCTTTTGTTTGTCCTGAAAACGACATTTGAGAATACACACAGGCTATTTATAGATGATAAAACACCAGTAATACAATCTCAGGAATCTTCGATATGGCTTTGATTACAGGATCGTTTACTTTCAGT